TTTATTAAGGGATCATGTAAAACTTGAGAATTTGGTTTTGTTCCTTCATAACGGCAGCGTTTTGTCTATGATCCCGAATTCACTTAAACCGACGTCGTTTCAGGAGTTTTGTAAGCTCACTCGCGTTTTAACTAAAAGATCTTATTTTCCGTCTGGTCGCTCACATAGAAAATCGGAATCACAGCAATGGCGACGACGCAGCCATTGATCGTCGCAGCGAAGACGCTCCGAAACCGGATCCTTTTCCGATCAGGGTCCACATCTGCCGGTCCAAGCCGGTGGGCGACGCCAGGTCACGAGGAGCGTCCCAAAGGATTTTTCATGAACCGGACTCCGCCGCCTCCGGGACAGTCGCGCAAATGGGAAGATTGGGAGCTTCCTTGTTACATCACAAGCTTCCTCACGATTGTTATCCTCGGTGTCGGTCTCAATGCCAAACCTGATCTTTCAATCGAGACCTGGGCTCATCAGAAAGCTCTCGAGCGCCTCGAAATGGAGAAACTCGCGTCTGCGGGAGATTCGTCCGATTAGTCCCTGATCTTGGGATAGTGGAGATGATTCTATGGTTGATCTGGTATGTGTGTTTAGTTTCTTTTCAGGGGATTTTGAGGAGTTTTTTTTTCCCGTTTTATGATGATCACAGATACTAGTGACCTAAAGTTTCGTTTTTGTTTCCCCTCCTCTTCCTGTTTAATGTTTAGTGTCGATAAATGTTTGATGAAATAAGCGATCTTTAACTCTTGACGATGGTTATATGTAACTCAAATTACTTTTTGATGATGTTTCAAAGTACTTGCCTCCAATCCTCTTACACATAACTTCTCAAATTTTAATACTTGCTGGTTTATTATCTAGATGGTCTCCCAGATTACTTGGAGAAGCTGATTAACAGTGCATTATTTTTAGCTCACATCGTTTGATTTATTGGGTTAGAACCTGGTTTGGTTCTGTTCTCTGTGAATGGTAGTTCCTTATCTTATGACCTTGTGCAATAAATTTATGTATGGATTCCGGTTTCCACTTCACTTATACAGTAAGAGGGTATTAAGTATAGTTCTGGTTAGAGAGAGTTTCACTCCTTTGTTTTGTAGCTATGGAAGCCTCGAGAAGGTTCATAACCATAGCTTAAGATTCTAGCATGTATACTCGTGGAGTTAGGAAGTGAGATTGATCAGTTATAGGATGTAACAAAGTAGAATCCTGTTGTTTTGTTTCCAAGCATATTGGGATCTAAACTTTTGAAACTTCAATTGGTGCTTCCCATTTATAACCATTATGTTAGTTGTTTCTGGGGCCAAATTGAAAGCTTGAAACAACCTGAGAGTATTTGATATCGGTTTTTGGAAAAGAGGTTCTGATTAACTACACTATGTATATAGATCAAATGAAGACTTTATTTTCTTTAGCTGCATCCTTTGGATCTTCTAGGTAATTTAGGGTTCTGTGATAAATCTCTATAAATTGACTGATGCTGTTTCTCAGAATACCTTGATCTGTTCATCCCATTTTGGTTGTTTGTATTCTTACTCTGTCTCAGTCCTTCCTTTGAGTTTGTGATTGTGAAATCCCTTTGTTCTTCATACGTTGTGATGTCCACTCAGTTTAAACCGATTTCCCCAAAAAAAAAACGAACCCGAAAAACCGATCCTAGAACCAGAAAATCTAAACCAAAATCCAAATATGAAATCCCTGCCACACTTTCATGAGTTGGCCAAATTGGTTCAACTGAAAATGATGGTATTAACTTATTTGAATGTTCGCTGGCTGTTCATAAACAGACAAACAGTGAACACTGAAACTGGTTGGTCTACTCAATTGCTGTTGCTGCTAGTTGCATTGATGATATTTATTATATTGTTTGCATCAGTTCCAAAATCATCATTTGCGTTATGTCGGTATTACTCATTTAAAGTGGTTTTCAGAAAAAAAATGTTCATAAAATAATTGTCTAATTAAAGCAAAGCTTTTGCTTTAACTATTTTCTAGCTGTATATTACCTTGTTCACAAACAAAATAACAATCATCCAAAACAAAAAAAGAGTTCTGCTTCTACCTTTCATGATAAAAACAAACAAAATAACTTTCACATTTTTATTTCTAAGATGTAAAATCCGATGTAAAATATATAAAATCCGAATCTAAATTACAATCTCTGTTTAGAAGTGGAAGGCAAGAAGATCTGAAGGACGAAAGTGAAAGGGACAATACGGTCATCATTACTCTGACTAAAAGTAAAAGAGTACAATGTGACCGGCAACTCCCGGTAAACTACATGAACCACCGACAAAGCTTCCCGGTTACATGTAATGGCATCCTTCACAACAACGACCACGATCTTCACTGTCCGTACCGTATACGGTTCATGATTTTAAATGCTTCATTTAAAAAAGCCTGTACTCTCATGTGCAACTTCCGATTTTTCTAAACTGAGAGAGAGAGAAAGTGGCTTTTACAGTTTCTAGATAAAGAGAACTCATTTGAGGAACAAAGCTGGTTTCTTGGTGATCCCCAAGCGAAGCAGCTGTTTTCTGAAACTTTTTTTTTTTTTTTTGTTTTTTTTGGTGTTCTGTTTCTTCCTCGAGATCCTCAGTCACATCGTAAATTTTCCATTTTCCACTTTCCATCTTTGTCTTCTTTTTTTTTTTTCCTTCCTCAAGTGTAACGTTATATGATCTTCAGTTTAAGATTCCCCATTTGTCTGAAACTGAAACATTCTCAGACGCTGTAGAAATTTTATTAACTGTTTGAAACTCGTGGGTTTATCACCACAAAATCATTATTGTGAATTACTAGGTAGTGAATTCACTCGTTTCTATCAGCACAACTTTGGAAATTGTGATAATCTATTGATTTCTTCTGTGGGGACTTGTCTTTTTTTGGTATTATATTAAAAAAAATTCGTTTGTTTTAATAACATGTAGATTGAGACAAACCATTACAAGTGCCGATAATGTTGTCGTTTTCCTTCTTATATCTTAAATTTGCCTTGGATTTCAGGAATATTACGCAACTGAGTTTTTGTCCATTTGCTCTGTCTCAGTTTATTATTAATCACTGTTGTTCTTCTCCAGGCTTTATTGAAAGCTCTTACGTAACTGCTGCAAAGGAAAAAGAAAATTGAAAGAAAAGGTTAGATGATGAAGGGAAGAACAACCAACAATGTTCAGTCGAATCGGTCCATGAAGAATGGTAAAAGAGATCAAAAGCCACAGAAGACCAACGGTGCTAAAAGATCTTCAGTGAAAGAAAAACTCAAAGCTTTAGACACTAAGGAAGAATCTAATGTCTCACTAGTAGTAAATGATATAGCTTCACAATCAGAGCTCTTTGAGGTTGACGAGACAGTGGATGATACGGCAAATGGGTCTTTAGATACTCAACAAGTGTCCGACTCTGGTAGAGTTACAGAGAAAATAGAGAAGGAAGAAACTGTGAATGGCCCGGCTTGTGATATGGAGAAAGATGATGAAGAAGAAGAAGACAAAGACCTTGATGCTGTAGCTAATGAAAAGATGGATTCTGCATCTTGCTCTGAAAGTGAGAACGAGGCATGTGATGTCACGGAGAGAAGTGATAACTTAGAGGATGAAGAAGCACTGAAACAACAGGTTGAGGATTTGGAGACAAGAATTGAGAAACTTGAAGAAGAGCTAAGAGAAGTTGCAGCGCTGGAGATTTCGCTCTATTCGATTGTACCAGACCACTCTGGCTCAGCTCACAAGGTTCACACGCCTGCTCGGAGAATTTCAAGACTCTATATCCATGCTTGTAAACATTGGAGTCGAGGAAAGCGAACAACCATCGCTAGAAACACCGTCTCTGGTCTCATTTTAGTTGCTAAATCTTGCGGAAATGATGTTTCCAGGTAACACAAACACAATTTAACAGTATGAGTGTTGTAGCTTTTAGGATCTTGATCTTCTCAGCATTTTCTTGGTTCCATATGTTTCAGGTTGACCTTCTGGTTATCGAACATTATCGCTTTAAGAGAGATTATTTCTCATGAGTTTGGTAAGTATCATGTTCCAAGTCATCTCACACAGACCTCTGTATCAAATGGTAGTGAACAAAGTGGTTCAGGGAATCTAAGAAGGAAAAAGAACCAATGTACTCAAGAATCAAATAGTTTCCAAGATTGGCAGGAAAGCGAAACCTTCACTGCAGTATTAGAGAAAGTCGAATTCTGGATATTCTCTAGAATCATTGAATCTGTTTGGTGGCAGGTGAAGTATCAAATAAATACTCCTATCTTAATATGAAGAAAGATCCCTTCTTTCAGCTATCTCAAATTTGTTCGTGTTCTCTCCTGTCTTTTCAGGTTTTCACACCTCACATGCAATCCCCTGAAAACAGCAGTAAAACGAATGAGAAACCTGTATTGGGAGATGAAGAGCAAGGAAGTTTTTCAATCAGCCTATGGCAAAACGCGTTGAGAGTGGCTCTATCACGGCTCTGTCCTATGCGAGGATCAGGGCACGAGTGCGGTTGCTTACCTATTTTGGCCAAAATGGTACTCAGATAAGTGCAAAGGCAGTAGCCTAAAGTATGTAAAGCTATTGGAATCTTATTTTTTTGTCTATCTCTTAACAGGTAATGGAGAAGTGTATAGCTCGAGTTGATATAGCCATGTTCAACGCTATATTGCGTGAGTCAGAGCATCAGATTCCCACTGATCCTGTCTCCGATCCTATCCTCGATTCCAAAGTTCTGCCTATCCCTGCTGGACACTTAAGCTTTGGATCCGGTGCACAGCTTAAAAACGCGGTACAACATCAAGAAACATGAATCAGATTATTGTTGTTATATACACTTCATATGAGAAGATACTAATGTCCTTGAATGTTATAACCTCTCGCTTCTAGATTGGCAATTGGTCTAGATGCCTCGCTGAAATGTTCGACATCAACACGAGAGATTCTGTGGAAGAAACTGATCTCATTGAAAGCGAGAAATCCTTCAGTTTGTTAAATGAACTTAGCGATCTACTTATGCTCCCAAAAGACATGCTTATGGACTTATCCATTAGAGAAGAGGTTTTGATTCTTTATCTCTATTACTCTTAAGTTCTTGATTATGCTCTCTTCAAACTGACTTTTTGTCTTTGATTGATTCATAGGTATGCCCATCGATAAGCCTTCCGTTGATCACAAGAATACTCTGCAACTTTACACCTGATGAGTTCTGTCCTGATCATGTCCCTGGAACTGTCCTAGAAGAGCTTAAGACCGAGGTAACGAATGCAAATCATTCTTTTTACTCTTCACTCTTCTTTGCATTCACTAAACCTTTTGTTATTTTGATTCTCACCAGAGCATTTCGGACCAGAAGTTTTCAGGAGTTAGCTTCCCTTATGCAGCTTCTCCTGTTTCATACACTCCTCCGTCATCAGTCAATGTAGCAGAGAAAGTTGCAGAGGTAGGAGGAGACATCTCTAGAATGTCGAGGAGCGCGTCTGTGATACAGAGAAAAGGATACACGAGCGACGAGGAGCTTGAGGAACTGGATTCTCCTCTTACATTTGTTATCGACAAAGTGTTGGTATCATCACCAATCTCGAGAGAAATTGGGAAGGTGAAGCAGGAAGATGAGCAAATAGGTGCAGTGGTTACAAATGTAAGATATGAGCTTCTTAGGGAAGTGTGGTCTATGTAAATTGATTAGAAGCCAAAATATTGAGTTTTCTAGTGAAGCTCTAGTTATACCAATTCACAACTGAAGCAAACCAAGTCTTTTCAAAGTTATATATGCTCCTAGACCATTGTATTTAGCTCGGTAAACAGCTCCGTTAACAACAATCTCACCCATAGATATACTAATAAGTGGGAATTGTGTTTTTGTAGACCAACTTCTTGATTTTATGTATCTGCTTCTCAACTTCTTGACAAAAGGCTGTTATCTTGGAATCTGCCTAATCGGATCTATAACTATAATGTCAACTAAGCGCACATCCTGATCCATACGTACATTGTAAAAGAGATGGAAACCAACTGGAAGAGGAAGACAAGAACAAAATATAATCTTGTTACTCCTCTGACTGAAGAATTTTGCCACCAGGATCCAAAAGGAAACACGAGAACAGCTCAGGTTGTACTAGGATATTGCATTAATAACCGACTCCCATTTGAAATTTCAAGCGAATACTTCAATTTCCTGATCAACCAAGTCCTTCCATTTTTGCGTTCCAAAGAACTTTTCGAAGTTTCCATCTTTCTACTTCTGAGTTTCGTAATTTAGCAAATAACTATAGAGAAAAAGAAAGGAGGATAATAGTATAAAAAGAAGGAAACACACAAAAATCCCACATCGGTAAGTAAATAAGCGTTACTCATAGCCTGGCACTATAAAAAAGAAGCTGAGCCCAATTTACAAATCATACCTTTCTCGGCCTTTTGGCTAAGATCAAGTGTAGTATCTGTTCTTATCAGTTTAATATCTGATATGTGGGCCATCGGCTCACACGATATTAACTCTATTTTTTGAGGGAGAAAGCCCACTAAGGTAGCTTGCTACCTGGGCTTTCGCGAGTCGCCCATGCGTTGCACTATTGCACGGGCCTGGCACAACCCACCAAATTAACAGTTTAATTCTAACTAGTTAAATTTAGTAAATTTATACTAAGTAGAAGTATGTAACCTTCGTGGGGAGGAATTATTTTCAGAAACTTGTGAAGGTGTCAATGTCGATAAAGACCGATTCAATTTGGTAAAAATAAGTCGAAGACTTGTAAGATGCTTCAAAAGATGGCATTAGCGGTGGAAGTGAGAACGAAGTGATGATGTCAAAGAGAAAAGTGAGGATGCAGAAGCTCTGAAACTAAAAGACGAAAAATTGGAGACAGAATCAAGAAACTTGAAGAAGAGCTAAGAGAAATGTTGCAGTGCTCGAGATCTCACTCTATCCGGTTGTACGAGACTACTCTAGCTCAGCTCACAGGCTTCACACTGCTCGCCGAATTTCAAGACTCTAAATCCATGCTTGTAAACATTGGATTCAAGGACAGTGAGTAACATTATGAGTGTAGTAGCTTTTAGAATTTTTACACCGTATCTGATTTCATTTTAGTTGTTAAATTTTTGCGGAAATGATGTTTTCCAGGTAATATAAACACGATTTAACATTATGAGTGTAGTAGCTTTTAGGATCTTGATCTTCTCAGCTCTTATGTTTCTTATGTTTCAGGTTTACCTTAGTTTGTTAAACGAACTTAGCGATCTAGTTACGCTCCCAAAATTCATGCTTATGAATTTATCCATTAAAGAAGAGGTTCTGTTTTGATATCTCCATCAAGTTCTTGATTAAGCTCTCTCAAACTGAAGTTTTCTTTGATTGATTCATTGGTATGCACATCCATCAGAGTCTTTCACTGATCAGAAGAATACTCTGCAAGTTAACACCTGATAATTTCTGTTCTGTTCATGTCGCTGGAGCTGTCCTACAAGAGCTCAACAGCGAGGTGGCAAATTTAAATACCTTTTTTACTTTCTTTTTGATCTTTGCACTCAGTATACTTTTTACTTTCCGTTTCTCAACAGAGCATTGCGGAACAGAATTTATTAGGACTAAATTTCCCTTATGCAGCATCACCTGTTTGCATACTTTCCTCCATCATCAATCGACGTAGCAGAGAAAGTGGCAGAGGTAGGAGAAGAAGTCTCTGGAATGTCCAGAAATGCTTCTGTTATACAAAGAAAAGGATATACAACCGACGTGGAGCTTGAGGAACTGGGATGATTCTCCTCTTACTTACATTTGTTATAGCCAAAGTATCAGTATCATCAATTTCGAGATACAATGGGAAAGTGCAGAGGTTTGAAATGTAAGATATGAACTTTAGATAAGTGTACTCTGTGTGAATGATTAGAAACCAAAATCTTGAGATTTTTTAGGGCAGCTCATGTTATCATATATATGAGCTTTTTAGGGAAGTCCCGAAGTTTTTATATGTAGCTGTAAGAATTTGATCAGATAAATATGCTCCTAGAGAAGAGCATTTAGCGTTTGAAGAGCCAACCAACTCTTTAACAACAATCACAACCATAAGGACACTAATAATTTGGAATTCTCTTTCTTCTGACCCAATTTCTTGATTTCATCTATCTGTTTCTCAACTATTTCAACGATACTCAAAACCTATTCGGATCTATAATGTTAATTTAGACCGATGAAAGCAAACAACTACCGTATACACAGAATCTGAGAATAAAATCTACTTGACTATGTACACTGCATAAGAGATGGAAACACATTGGAGGAGAAAGAAAGAACAAAACCAAAATCTCGGTACTTCTTAGGCGTAGACAATTCTACCTCAACCTCTCAAATTTACAGAGAGAATACTTGGTTCGTGATGGAAGAGAATTTATCGTATTCTTTGTTTGAAGAAAAAAGAAATTTGAGTTAGTAAAATGAGGCTGTATAAAAGTCCCACATCGGCATTCTAAAGAAGGTTGCTCAAAAGCTTGGCTCTATAAAAAAGAAACCAAGCCTCGCTTACAAATCATACCTTTCTCGGCCTTTTGGCTAAGATCAAGTGTAGTATCTGTTCTTATCAGTTTAATATATGATATGTGGGCCATCGGCTCACACGATATTAACTCTATTTTTTAAGGGAGAAAGCCCATTAAGGTAGCTTGCTATCTAGGCTTTCACGAGTCGCCCATGCGTTGCACTATTGCACGGGCCCGGCTCAACCCACCAAATTAGCAGTTCACAATTTTTTACTTCTTAATTTATTTAAGGTAAGCACTAACTATGCACTTTTTAACATAGAGAAAATGTGAAAAAATCGGATGGGTTGATATCATCATAGTTGGTTAAATATCATCTAAATCGTAGTAAAGTTACGTTTATATGGAGCTAAACTGTTTGATGGAAAAGTTGCAGATTTCTCAATCAGCCTCAGCTCTTTCGCCACTTGCAGATTTCTCAATCAGCCTGAGCTCTTTCGCCACTTGAATCATGCTAATCAACGGGTCTCCTAAGTTGTATCCGATGCATCTCAGCGCTAATCTAAGAAAGCATTTAACCGGGGAAGCAGCTAGATTGCTCACATCTCTACTTATATCTGAATCTATAACTTCTGCATACCCAAACTTCCTCAATATCTTCGAAACGTGATGGTGAAGCGGGAACAGCGCATCGTCATCAGGTTTGATGAACAAATCAGCTAATGCTCTAAGCATATCCGAAGATAAAGATAGCTCATCATCAACTTCCTTTATCTGCAAAAGAGCTAGCAAGAACGTTCCAAAGCTGTACATATCGGTCTTTATTGTGACCTTACCGGTTGACTTGTATTCAGGATCAATGACCGGTAAGTAACACACACCAAGTCCATGTGTTTCCTTTAAGGTATTGCGCCTAAACTCATGGTACTTCTGTAATGTATCATCATGAACATAAGTCTCTCCTTCGGGAATGGAGATACAGTTACAAAAATTCCCGAGCTTTGCGATCCCATTCTCATCTAAGAAATGGTGAAAGGATCTAGATTCGAGTGAATGAAAGCCCTTGAAAATGCAGTGTGAAGGTAAGTCAAAGCGTTTGCGACCTCTCTTGCTATCTTTATCCTCCTCATGTGTTTTGGATCAGACGCAACTAATGGACCAAGAGTTATAATCTCAGCATACTCAAAGACTAAGACAGGAGGAGAGAACTCAAGACAGCATCCCAATAGCTTGAGGAAGTTGTTATTACCGGAAACCATTGATGAGATTGCTATGTCTTGACAAATCTCTTTCACATCAAGCGCGTATTTCCCTTTCTTGATGAGTACTGGACGGTCATCGAGCATGCCTTTATAGCAACGGTAATAAACATCAATCCGGGAAGCACGGTTACTTTGGCAGAAGTTATTTGTTGCTTTGATGATCTGATCGGAAGAGAAGTTTCTGATAGGATTGCATTTTCCATCACAACATTCAACGAGCTCCTTCAGAACAACCTCACCATTCTCTTTGACATTCTTTTGCCTTGTCTTGGCTCCAATTCGTTTTGATCTCCACAAATCCATCTTATAGAACTCTTCAAAGTTGTATCCTTTAGAGCAAAAGAAGACAAAAGCTAATCTGTGTGAATGCTTTCCCCTAGAAACTCCATCAATCCACACTCAACAGCTGGAAAATACAGAGAGAATAGTAGATTGGGTTTCAGATGTCCCCCAAAACCACCCTCCAGATCTCTAGTGTCTACACAACAAGACAAGAATTGGAATATTCATTACACACAACATCTCTTAATGGAGCTACTAAGAAATATTCAATAGTAGTTGATGAGTTTTATTGCAATTAATGTAGAAGTAATGAACACCTAAGCTGAAATGGAGACAAGAATTGGAATCCGATCCATAATAATGTCTACGAAATTGGAAAGAATCAAGATCGTACCTCAGAAGCGAAAGCATCATCAATTATGTAGAACACGAGAACGAAGGCATATCAAGATTAAATATTAGATATAATGTATCCCCGGGGGAAAAAAGTGGTATTGGTCCAATAATGTAGTCGGCCGAAGAAAAGAGTTGACTTTCAAGAGCATCCACACATTAGAGGGAATGTGTTCAGTGTTCACACTTTGTTTATTTCACTTTGGAGGCAAAGTTACCATCTTTAGTTTGCCCAGACAACAACATTATCCGTAAATGGAATCTAGAAGAAACAAATATGAAAATCTGGTTCTTGATATATAACAAAAAACTTTCGAGACATCACTATATTCTCAAAGGTTAACAACGTTCAAGAATAAAGAAACTAATGAATGAGGACTAGTTAAGAGAGTTTCTCAATAAATTTGAGCTCTTTAGCAACTTCAATCATACTACTCACTGTATCTACTTTCTTGTATCTTACACATCTCAAAGCTAATCTAAGAAAAGCTTCAACCTGTGACCGTCTCGAAACCAAATCATCACCAGCCGAAACGTTCCATATCTCTTTATCAACAATCTCTTCAAACCCACCTTTCTCCATAATCTCAGACACATGATCGTTAAGCGACATTGGAGTCTCGTCTGGTCCATTAAACACAGCAGCTCTTCCGGACAACAAAACCAACATCACAACTCCAAAGCTATAAATATCAACTTTCTCTGTAACTTTCATTGTCCAGTAATAATCTGGATCAACAAACCCAATAACCCCTTTCACATCGTCTTCTACATACAATTCCCCTTCTGGTATTGCAACACAGAACCAGAAATCAGAAAGCTTCGCCGTCCAATTCTCGTCGATGAAAATGTTCGTCGGGTTTATGTTCCGGTGGATTATAGCCTCCGGAAACGCCGTGTGGAGATAAGTCACAGAACTCGCAATCTCTTTGGCAATCTTCAATCTCACTTTCCATGGCAAAACCTCTCCGCTTGAGATTCCTCCGTCTCTGTTGAGCGGACCGTGTTCTGTGTACTCACATACTAAAGCCGGAAGATCAAACTCCAAGCAACAACCTAGGAGCTTAAGAGCATTCTTGTGTCCACTCATCTGAGATGACACGGAGATATCGCGATACGCTTCTGTGAAGCTTGAAAGGTTTTGGCTTGACCATTTCTTGATTGAGACGGGTCTGTCTTCGATTACGCCTCTGTACCAGATGAAATATCCCCAGCTTGAGATGACTCGGCTCTCGGAGAAATTGTCGGTCGCTTTAAGGATCTGATCGGAGGAGAAGCAACGAATCGGATTGGTTTTGCCGTCGAAGGATACGATTAGCTCCTCCAATAGAATCCCTCCATTTGTCAAATCCGATCTGTTCTTCTTCTTGTTTTTGCTCATTAGATAATCTTACAAGAGAAACAAATTTTAAACTAATTAATCTCAAAGAGAAAGTTCATGTTTTTGTTTTTCAAAGGAGCAACTTTGAGGACCTGTTCTTCTTCTTGACAAGTTTACTCAAAATTCCGCCGATAGGATTTTTTCAGTTTGACCCATATATTTTCAGATTTTACAAATTGATCCAATAAATTATAATATCTTGGTGGCTCCATTATACATACAACAAAATCAAGACACCTCCTCGCCTAGAGGTACTACATTCTTTACGTGTTCAAACACCAGAACTCTTTATTATTACAAATTCACCCAGTAAAGTTTACAACATCTCTTCTAGTTCTATGTCCATCTCTCAATCCTTTTTAGTTCCTTGGCCACTTCCATCATCTTTGGAACATCACCTCTGTTACCAGTGCATCTGAGTGAGAGCATAATGACTGCTTCCATTCGCTGTCTCTCGCGTTCTTGATTTTCATCACCATCCATACTTTCGAACATATTTGGATCCAAGATCTCAAAGATTCTTCCCTCTTCCACAAATTTGGATACCCTATCTGAAATCCTCAGATTCATCACATTTTGTTCGGATACAAACTTCTCAGGCATACGTTCATCATCACTGCAACAATCAACCACTCTATGCTTTGTGGTCAAAAGATTTTGCAACAACACTCCAAAGCTGAAAACATCGGTATTCTCAGTGACTACACCAGTCGTCACATACTTATACTCGAGGTAATCTAATACTCCTTCTACTCTGTCAGCATCAACCTTAACAAATGTCTCTCCTTCTGGAATCGAGACACAGAGACAAAACCCACTTAGCTTTACTGTTCCATTTGAATCCAAGAAAATGTTAGAAGGTTGTATATCCATATGGATCATAGTTCTTGAAAACGCGGTGTGAAGGTAAGAAACAGCAATCGCAATCTCTTTCGCTATCTTAATTCGCATTCCTAATCCCAGGTTTGGAGTATTGGAAGGTATACGTTCTGCATATTCACAAACTAAGACCGGATATTCAAACTCGAGACAACATCCTAACAGTTTGAGGAAATTCTTGTGACCACTGACCATTGATGAGACCGCTATGTCTCGACAGATCTTTGCTAATGTATCAGATGTGTACAGCTTCCATATGGGTCTTTTGATTAGGACAGGACGGTTTTCGAGGATACCTCTGTACATGAGCTCGAACCGAATCAGGTGGTTGCTCTCGCTGAAGTTATTGGTGGCTTCGAGGATTTGGTTAGCAGAGAAGGTTTTGATTGGATTGGATTTGCCGTTGCAAAGCTCTATGAGATCTTCTAAGAGGACCTTCCCGTTCTCTTTGAACAATTTCAGCCGTTGATTTGTTTCTGAGTTCTTCTTATGTTTCGTCTTGTTCCTCCAAAAATCCAATCTTCTGATCAACATGGGCATGGACGGATCAGTAAAAGAAACTCCAAAACTTGAGGCAAGATGATTTCTTTCGGAGAAAAGATGAAGATGGGTCATAGGGAAAGTTTTGTCCAATACATTTGAGTCAAAAATAAATAAATAAAAGTATATTTATATATAGTTCGTACTGTATGTTAATCAACATACTTTGAGATCCACTCGTTTACATACTGAAATTGCGATCTGAGCAATCATTTTCGGCGATGGAATTCTGGAGAAGGAAGAAGGAGAAGCGCAAGGCGAGAGAGTGTTTTCTCGAAAACGGAAGCACGTTTCTTGAGGATCTCATCGCCGACTGTAACGGCATATCAAACCCTATCCGAATGTTCTCTTCCGATCAAATCTCCAAGGCCACGAATCACTCCGATCCCCAGTGGTTGGGTTCTTTCTCTGAGTACTTCATCGGCGTAATCGAAGGCAGATCATACGCGATCAAGAAACTTATATACTATAGAGATAAGTGGGAACCAGAGAGTTACAAGGATATAGTCATATCTGCTCGGGTAAGCAATCACAGTGGTTTCCTCAAACTCAAAGGATGCTGTCTCGAATTTCCTTATCCGGTCGTGGTGTTTGAGAAGCCAGAGTATGGAGTTTTGAACCATGGAGGAAGTGTTGGTGGCGAGGACGAGCCGTTGTTGCCTTGGAATGTTCGATTGAAGATTGCCAAGGAGGTTGCGATCGCTATTACTTATCTTCACACGGCTTTTCCCAGGATCATTATACACAGAAATATCAATCCAAAGAGTGTTGTGTTGGATAAGAATTGGACGGCTAAGCTGACTAATTTCTCGATTTCCGTAATACTCCCAGAAGGGAAGACGTGGGTCGTAGATAGGGTGACAGGAACTCTCGGATACTTAGATCCGGTTTATTACCATTCGGGAATTGTGACAGAATACACAGATGTGTACAGCTTTGGAATCCTTATGTTGGTTCTTCTTACGGGAATACCAGCATTGGGTCCTGAAGGTAGCATTCTTCGTTATATAAAGGATTTGCAGGAGAGAGGAGAAACTATTGAATTCGGGGGTGATTCCAACGACATGAGGCTTGCTGGTCAGATGAAAATGTTTCTTGAGCTAGCATTGAGATGCTGCGAGGAAAGGATTGAAGACAGGCCAAAGATGATCTTGGTGGCAAAAGAGCTTAAGCGAATTGAAAAATTACTCGATTGTTAAACCCTCCTGAGATGCTGCAAATTTGGATCTGAGGATGGTCAGGTTTAAGATTTGAGATCATGCTCATACTAGTGTTCTGTATTGTGTATTGCTTGATTTCTTCCTTTAATAAATATATCTGTTAACTTTCATTTTGATTCAGGAATGAGTTTAGAAGGTAAATAAATCCATCTTCAGGTTCAGAAAGCAGGCAGAATATGAAAGATGGTTCTGGTTTTCAGAAAAGCTCAGTGTTGTACTATGGAGTAGTTCTTAGCTTTCGATTTAGATCCCAAAGCAGGAGCCATAGTTTCGAGAACTAGCTTAAAATTATTCTCATTGGAATTGTTTATCTCGATTAGGATACAACGCTGAAACCTCATGAAAGTTTTTGTGTTGATCATTGAGTGAGTTTCAAACTCGTTGACTTGAAAAAAGTTGACTTTCTGAAACTTCAATGGCGTCAGATTCAGCATTATTATACTGTTATATATTCACCAGGAGCCAACTTTGAATGCCAATTAACATTTTGAGACTGCAAAGGCATTTCTTTTCTTCATTGACCCGAAGAAGATCATGAGGTTCTGGAGAAATAAGGGCAAACAGAGGAGGCAACAGTGGTTCTTGGACAACGGAAGCACTTTTCTCAAAGAGCTCATAGCTGGATGCAACGGTAAGACAAATCCTATCCGAAGCTTTTCTTCTGATCAGATCCTCAAGGCCACAAATGGCTTTGATCCAAGCCGCTATGTCACGAGTGACCTTTACTACACCTGGTACACGGGTAACATCGAAGGTAGATCTTACATGATCACGATGTTTCCCGAGGAGAAAGTCAAAGGAGATGGAGATGGAATTGGAGCCGTTTACAACGACATTGTCATATCTGCTCGTGTTACCAGTCACAGCAATTTCCTGAAGCTGTTGGGATGCTGTCTCGAGTTCCCTTTCCCGGTTCTGGTGTTTGAACATGCAGAAAACAGAACTCTAAGTCACCAAGGAGGTATCGGTTCCAAGTATACAGAGTTCTTGCCTTGGGATGTAAGACTAAAGGTAGCAAAGGAGATCGCCAACGCGGTTACTTATCTTCACACGGAGTTCCCTAAGATCATTGTACACAGAAATATAACTCCCATGAATGTTTTATTGGACGAGAACTGGACGGCTAAGCTGTCTGATTTCAGGTGGACAAGTTTGTTGAGCTAACGTTGATCAGATGCTGCGAGAAGAGTGTGGAGAAGAGACCGAAGATGATCGATGTCGCCAACGAGCTCAAACGGATTGAGAGATCACTAAGTTGATGTACATTTACTGGTCCGAAAGTAAATAAGACTAGTACATAGATCCGTTTTTTATTTCTTGCTATATTCATAAACTCACATTACGGTTTACACCGGTTTCTTACCTCCGATTTTTTACGGTTTAATACACTCTCCGTAGTGACTTGTTGAAATGTGATCAAATTCGATTTTGATGTTTGGGGATTTGTGCAGAGAAGAAGATGAAGGCGTCGATGAAGTTTCGGGAGGGCTAAGGTTCTTCTGAGTATCTGAGGTTTACCGTTTCAATCGGGAATCGTCGCCGGAGAATCCAAGGAGCTCAGCCTCGATCTATCTACTTTCTTCGAATCTGGGCCTTCTCTGATAATGGAATCGATGAAGAAGATGTTTCTGAAATCAGGCTCTGGGAAAATGAAGGAAAATGACATGAAGAAGAGGTGGTTTTTGAACAACGGAAGCAAATTCGTAAAAGAACTTATCGCTGATTGTAACGGTAAATCAATTCCTATACGCAGTTTTTCAAATTCCCAGATCATTCAAGCCACCAATAACTTCGACTCAAGTTGTTTCGTCGCGGAAGATGCGTACTATAAGTGGTACACAGGTAAAATCGAAAACAGATCCTACATGATCAAGAGATTCTCCGAGGATGAAATTACAGGACACAGAATTGAAGAGGTTTACAATGATATAGTCTTGTCTGCTCGCATGAGCAATCACAACAACTTTCTAAAACTATTAGGATGTTGCCTCGAGTTTCCTTTTCCAGTTATAGTGTTTGAATACGCAGAACATGGAGTTATGAATCAACGAGGAGGTATTATTGTCAACGGGGAGGAATCTGTGTTGCCATGGAGTTTACGATTAAAGATTGGAAAGGAGATTGCTAATGCTGTGACTTATCTTCACATGGCCTTCTCTAAGATCATCATACATAGAGATGTTAAGCCAATGCACGTTTTCTTGAGCAAGAACTGGACTGCAAAGTTGTCTGATTTATCTTTCTCAATATCTCTCCCTGAAGACAAATTAAGTATAGAAGCTGAAAGAATCCTGGGAACATTTGGGTATCTCGATCCCTTATATCATGCCACTAGTTATGTGACGGAATATACCGATGTTTACAGCTTTGGAATCTGTTTGTTGGTTTTTCTCACTGGCAAACCGGCTGTGTTCACGGGATCTGATGGAGATCCCCAAGGTCTTCTTAGCTATGTGAGAGGGCTATGTGAGGATGGGAAGCTCGATGAAGTAATAGATCCAATGATGGCAAAAGACATCACAAGTGGTCAAAGATTGCAGTCGGAGGCGTGTGTTGTACTTGCGTTGAGATGCTGCGAGGAGAGAGATGAAGACAGACCAAAGATGATCCAAGTAGCTAAACAACTCAGGCGGATTCATACGTCATTTTTGAGATCTTAACTAGGCATCCTCTGTTCTGAGACAAACTCTACCCAACTATTATTGCATTTGAATTCTTGCCAGTTTGATGTTTTTGTAGCCTCAAGAAAGAATTTCGTGACATGTCTTTGTGAGATCGGAGCAGTTAATCACAGAATATATGATGAAGATAGGAGCATCTATGGTGTCCAAAAGAAGAGATTTTTTAGTTGCTTGACTTATCAAGTAATACTTATCTTCGATTATACCTTTGTACCATATTGTTCGATTATAGAGATAAAGTATAAAATCCTTGCATTATGAAGAATGGATCCTCAGATGTTTAGATACAACATATATCGTGAAAGAAAGCTCGAAACAAGAATATCATAACAACTTTCACTACTAAGAAGACTGCATAATGGATAGATAGTTAGATCCGTTTTGAATCTCACTAGAAGAGTTCATATATGTTTTTAGTTCTTTTGCAACCTCTATGATGTGAGAGCACATTTTCTCCTGGTCTGAAACTTAATACATTTTAAAGCAAGTTCAGTGAATGCTTCCATTTGCTGTCTTAACTGATCAGGAATGTTGTCACTTGTGCCGTTCAACATTGACGGGTCTATCAGTTCAGTGAACGGACCTCGCTCAAGAATCTTCTGCACATAATCAAGCAAAAGAACAGAGTAACCATCAACCAAAGGTGCTCGAGACTTTCCTGTCAAAAGAATCAGCATGATGATCCCAAGGCTATATATGTCGACATTCTCAGTGACCAAACCTGTTCTAAGGTAATTGGGTTCGATATAGCTGGTTGTCCCACAAACGATGTCATATACGCCTGATTCTCCCTCTGGAATCGATATGCTGAGGCTGAAACAAGACAATTTGGCGGTCCAATTCTCGTCCAAGAAAACGTTTCCAAGTTTTAAATCCCTATGAATTATAGTTTTCGGAAATTCAGTATGGAGATACGTTACAGCATCTGCAATCTCCTTAGCTATCTTCAATCTTACATTCCAAGGCAATGGCTTAGCGCTTTCCCTTGCATGTCCTGTAAAGGTAAGAGCTCCATTTTCCGGGTACTCATACACGAGAACCGGAGTAGAAAACTCTAGACAACATCCCAAGAGCTTGAGGACGTTCTTGTTGCCGCTCATCAAAGATGAGACGGCGATATCACGGAAAAAATTGTCAGGGCCGTACTGCTTCTCTTTATATGCTTTGATTAGCACGCGTCTATTATCAATCATACCTTTGTACCACACGAATCTATCTACAGAGCTCATGTAGTTCCAGTCAAAGTTGTTTGTAGCTGTAACGATTTGGTGGGAAGAAAACATGCGGATTGGATTGTATTTACCTCCTGTAGATGCAATGAGTTCCTCCAACAGTGAGCTCCCATTTTCTTGGCTTAGAATTTCCTCTTCTTTCTTCTTCTTCTTCCTCAACAAGTTCAAACACGGCATCTCTTCACACCCAGAAAATGATGTTAAACATCTTCCTGCAAACAAAGATACGCAAGAAAGAAGGAGATGGACGCAAACACAAGTCAAGTCAACGAAGCCAAAGAGCCAAAACAGGTATGGGTAGAGGCCTTGGTCTACGATATGGGTCTATAAATGGGCCTTGAAGATAGGCCATGAAGTATTAATGGACTCAACAAGGAAGAAGGAAGTCTGGCCCGTGGCGTTGCAAAGCTCTATGAGATGAGGAGCTTCCCGTTCTCTTGGAACAATCTCAGCCGTTGATTTGTTTCTGAGTTCTTCTTCGTCGTCGTCGTCTTGTTCCTCCAACAATCCAGTCTTCTACTAATCAACATGAGCATGGATTAATTAATTAGTATAAGCAAACTTGAGCCAAGATGATTTCTTTCGGAGAAAAGATGATGATGGTTCAAAGGGAAAATTTTGTCCAATACATATGGTCAAGGAAATATAAATAAATAGGGAATAAAAATGTTGATTAATTCAACACAACTGATGATTAATGGTCAAGGAAATATGATGATTCGTATTAGATGTTGATTAATTCAACATAACTCAGAGATGGACTCGGTTGCATGTTTGATAAAGAATCTTCGTTTTTTACATAAAAAAAAATGAAATTGTAAGAATCGTCTTCTTTCTCAACGTCAACGGTAGAAATTAGCGATCGAAGCAACATTCGGCGATGGAATTCTGGAGAAGGAAGAAGGAGAAGCGCAAGGCCAGAGAATGTTTCCTCAAAAATGGAAGCATATTTCTTCAGAAACTCATCGCCGACTGTAACGGCATATCAAACCCTATCCGAATGTTCTCTTCCGATCAAATCAAGTCCACAGATTATTTCCATGACATCAATCCCAATTTCTTCCCCGGCGTAATCGAAGGCAGATCATACGCGATCAAGCAACTTATACACTACAAAGATAAGTGGGAACCAGAGGGTTACAACGATATAGTCATATCTGCTCGGGTAAGCAATCATAGTGGTTTCCTCAAACTCACAGGATGCTGTCTCGAATTTCCTTATCCAGTCATGGTGTTTGAGAAGCCAGAAAACGGAGAATTGAACGAGCGAGGAAGTTTTGGTTACAAAGACGCACCTTTGTTGCCTTGGAATGTTCGATTGAAAATTGCCAAGGAAGTTGCGATCGCTATCAGTTATCTTCACACGGCTTTTCCTAGGATCATTGTACACAGACATATCAATCCAACAAGTGTTATGTTGGATAAGAATTGGACGGCTAAGCTGACTGATTTCTCTCGTTCTATTACTCTCCCTAAAGGTAAGACTTGGATCCAAGATTTGGGAGATTTGGGAGCTCCGGGATATTTGGGATACGGAGATCCGCTTTATTTCTTGACGAAGATAGTGACAGAATACACAGATGTGTACAGCTTTGGAATCTTTATGTTGGTTCTTCTTACGGGAATACCTGCATTTTTGCATTTAATACATGGCGGGTTGGGTTCTACAGGTAGGATTCTTGATTATGTCAAGGATCTGCAGAAGAGAGGAGAAACTGTTGAATTCGGAGGTGAGTCCAATGACATGAGGCCTGGTCAGATGAAAATGTTTCTTGACCTAGCACTGAGATGCTGCGAGTATAGGGATGAAGACAGGCCAAAGATGATCTTGGTGGCAAAAGAGCTCAAGCGAATTGAAAAATCACTCGATTGTTAAACCCTCCTGAGATGCTGCAAATTTGGATCTGAGGATGGTTGAATTTTAAGATTTGAGATCATGCTCATACTAGTGTTGTGTAATGTGTATTGCTGGATTTCTTACCTTTAATAAATATATCTGTTTTCCGAGTAAAACTTTCATCTTGATTAAGGAATGAGTTTAAACAGTAAATAAATCTTCTTCAGGTTCAGAGAAGCAGGCAGAAAATGAAAGATGGTTCTGGTTTTCAGAAAAGCTCAGTGTTGTACTATGGAGTAGTTCTTAGCTTTCGATTTAGATCCGGAAGCAGGAGCCATAGTTTCGAGAACTAACTTAGAAGTATTCTCATTGGAATTGTTTATCAGGAATATTAGGCTACAAAGCTGAAACCTCATGAAAGTTTTTGTGTTGATCATTGAGTTTGAGTGAGTTTCAAACTCGTTGACTTAAAAAAAAAAGTTAAGACTTTCTGAAACTTCAATGGCGTCAGATTCAACATGAGTAGGTCAAAGATGTACTCCTATAAAATAAGCAAAAATTCCCTGAAACTAATGTCTGTGGTAGCTCAAATATTTTTTTTTGTCGCATATTGCATTTGACGATGAGACCCTGGAGAAGGAAGAATGTGAAGGAGAAGCAGCGGAGCGAATGGTTCATCAACAATGGAAGCAGTTTCCTCCAGGAACTCATCGCCGATTCCAACGGTATTTCAAACCCGATCCGGTTTTTCTCTTCCGATCAAATCCTCAATGCCACGGATCGATTCGATCCCAACTGTTACATCTCTCGTCATAGATTCTTTACCTGGTACAAGGGCGTCATCGAAAACCGACCTTACGCGATCAAGAAATTCACGGAGTCAGGGTTTACAGGAGAGAGTGTGCGAGAGGTTTACAACGACATGGTCTTATCTGCTCGGGTAAGCAATCAAACTAGTTTTCTCAAACTTGTGGGATGTTCCCTCGAATTTTCCCTTCCGATTATGGTCTTCGAATACCCAGAGAATGGAGCTTTGAACGAGCGAGGAGGTTTTGGTTGCGAGGACGGTACGTTATTGCCGTGGAATCTTCGATTGAAGATAGCCAAGGAGGTTGCGATTGCTGTGACTTATCTTCACACGGCCTTCCCTAGGATTATTATACACAGAGATATCAAGCCGATGAATGTTTTCTTGGATAAGAATTTGACGGCTAAGCTGACTGATTTCACGTTTTCAGTATCACTCCCTGAGGGGAAGTCGTGGATCAAAGATAATGTGATGGGAACTTTCGGATACATAGATCCGGTTTACTTCTCCAGGGGTTTAGTGTCGGAATACACAGATGTCTTCAGCTTTGGAATCTTTATGTTGGTTCTTCTTACGGGAAGACCAGCAGTTTTCGCTGCATCAAGTGGTGTTCATTGTAATATTCTTGACTATGTCAAGGATCTACGGGAGAGAGGAGAAACTGTTGAATTTGCGGGTGATCCGAACCACATGAGGCTTGGTCAGATGAATATGTTGCTTGACCTGGCACTGAGATGCTGCGAGAAGAGGGATGAAAACAGGCCAAAGATGATTTTGGTCGCAAAAGAGATTAAGCTGATAGAAAGATCACTCAATTGTTAAAGTGGCTTGAAAATGAGTCGAGGATGGTCAAATTTAAGATTGATATCATGCTCAAATTTAAGTAAAAACTTCGTTTTGATTAGGAGGGAGTCGAGAGGGTATACAAATCTGTCTTTAGGTTTTCAAATACATCCTCTGTGTCCAACTAAGGATAAGGAGTAGTTCTTCTTAGCATCGAGGCATAGTTTTGGAGAATTTGCTTTTAAGTGTTTTTTGTTTTTTTTTTTTTACTTGCAAATTCTGTGACTTGCAAAGAGATTATAGCTAGAGATCCTCTCTATTCTTGTAACAAGAAGAGCTTACTCTGTTTCTTACATAACAGCAGATTCAACCTCAGGGTTAATAATACTTTACTGTGTTCTACCTATTGTACTTAAGTGGGGTTAATGTATGAACTTTGTAATGTTTATTTCATGCCAATTTGGCCGAGCTTATTCTGTCAGGTTTTAAGGTGGTCTAGTATTTTGTCTGTTTCTCAAAATCGTCCAAGAAGTAAACACTTATTAATCTCTGACAAATGAATCTCAAGCTAGCAGAGTAGGTTTTGGTTGGATTGATTTGCCATTGCAAAGCTCGATGACATCTTCTAAGAAGACCTTCCCGTTCTCTTGGAACAATCTTAGCCGTTGATTTGTTTCTGACTTCTTCTTCATCTTTTTCCTCCAATAATCGATCTTCTGATCATTCATCAACATACAGAGCTGAGAAGTGGAGGAGCGAGCATGGAAGGGTTCAAAGAAAGACTTTGACTCAAGACGAATTTCTTCCATGAAAAAAGGTGAGGATAGTTCAAAGGAAAGTGCATCCTTGATTTTTTTTTTTTTTTTTTTTGCCTCTGTTTATTTACTATTTCGATAATTGGAGGTAAGGAAAAATATATAAATAAAATAACTTTTTGGATGTTGATCTTTCAACATATTTTGAGATCCACTCGTTTAGATGTATCTTTGCATATACTTATGCCTTTGTATACTCTTTGGAAACATAAGATTGACTTCTTTTTTTTTTTCAGAAGCACTTTAGGTACTTCCTATTAAAGACGATGAAGCAGAATCTGAGATCTTGGTCATACTCGAAAAACAAGGAAAAAGACGTGAAGGAGGAAAGGTGGTTCTTGAAGAACGGAAGCAAGTTCTTAAAAGAACTTATCGCTGATTGTAACGGTAAATCCATTCCTATACGCAGTTTTTCTTCTCACCAGATCCTTAAAGCCACCAAGAACTTCGATTCCAGTTGTTTTGTCACCAAAGAAGGGTTCTACATTTGGTACAAAGGTGAAATCGAAGATAGATCTTACATGATCAAGAGATTCTCCGAGTATAAAGTTACAGATTACAGAGAAGGAGAGGTATACAAAGACATCGTCTTGTCTGCTCGGATGAGCAACCACAACAATTTTCTTAAACTATTAGGATGTTGTCTTGAGTTCCCTTATCCGGTTCTGGTATTTGAATTCGCAGAACATGGAGTTTTAAATCATCGAGGAGGTATTACGGTTAATGGGGAGGAATCGTTATTGCCTTTGAGTTTGAGGTTGAAGATTGGGAAAGAGATTGCAAATGCCTTGGCTTATCTTCACATGGCATTCCCTAAGATCATCATATATAGAGATGTTAAGCCAATGCACGTTTTCTTGGACAAGAACTGGACCACAAAGCTGTCTGATTTGTCTTTCTCCATATCGCTCGACGAGGGAAAATCACAAATAGAAGCTGAAGACGTTGTGGGTACATACGGGTACCTCGATCCATTATACTTTGCAACAAGGCTTGTGACAGAATATACCGATGTGTACAGCTTTGGAGTCTTATTGATGGTTCTTCTCACTGGCAGACCGGTTTACTTCACAGTATCTGATGGGTATCGAGTTGGTATTCTTGGATATGTGAAAGGCTTATATGAAAATGAGAAGCTCAATGAAGTTATTGATCCTATGATGATGAATGACGACATTACAAGTGCTCAGATATTGCAGGTGGAAGCGTGTGTTGTACTTGCGCTGAGATGCTGCAAGGAGAGGGATGAAGACAGACCGAAGATGATTCAGGTAGCTAAAGAACTAAAGCTGATTGAGACATCATTTCTGGAATCCTAGCTAGAGATCCTCTCTGTTCTTGAAGCTGGACCAGCACCAGCACCATCCATCCGTGTAAACATGTTTCGTCGCTAACAATTGTTTCTTCTGCTGGGACTCACAGAGCTCACAAGGGAGTGCCAAACATATTGAAGTTAACCGGGAATAAACATATATATGATGAGCATCAAGAAGAAGGTTTTGAAGCGTAAGTACAAAATCACACTACACTAACAGAAGGTCAAAGTTTTATGTGTGTTCTCTCTGAGTGATTTTGTTTTCTGTATGAATCTGAATTCCACACTACAGGAAGATATAGTTTTCAGAGTTGGCTTTATACAGTCCAAGAACAGATAATGAGCAATCACAATAACTTTCTTAATCTATTAGGATGTCTTCTCGAGTTTCCTTTTCCGGTTCTTGTGTTTGAATTCGCAGATAATGGAGTTTTGAATCAGAGAGGAGCTATTGTGGCTAACGGAGAAGAATTTTTTTGTTTGCCAATGGTTTACGGTTAAATATTGGGAAAAATATTGCAAATGATGTAACTTATCTTCACATTGCATCCCCTAAGACCATCATAAATAGAGATGTAAAGCCAATGCACGTTTTGGGAAAGAACTGGACTCAAAAGATTGTTCTCTCTCCCTCAGAGGAATCAAGTGTAGAACATTTGGGTATCTCGATCAATTACATCATGCCACGACTTTTGTGACGGAATATAAAGATAAGTGAGAGGAAGATAGACCAAAGATGATCCAAGTAGCTAAAGAACTCGAGCGGATGAAGACATCGCAGAGAGATTCTAGCTACAAATCCTCTTGTTCTTTGAAAAAACTCCTTCTTTTTGATTAGAAAACTCTAGACAACATCCCAAGAGCTTGAGAACGTTCTTGTTGCCGCTCATCAAATAGACAACAGAGGAAGGTTTTTTTAACATCGGGCCATCGGGGGTCCAGATAACATTCTTTTGGTCATTGTATCAATTACAAGATTGGAGCTAACATTCTTCACTTTAAATACTATGTATAAAAATCAGCAAACAAATTATAGAAACATAATGGTAATAACTATGTAGAATATACTGAAGTTCCAAAACTAATTAATACTATCAATCACTAGTTAAATCACTAGTTTTTTTTGTAGATAATATAAAATGTTAAAAATAAATTAGATGTTTCACATGTAAACAATCCTAACATGACATATTTGTTGGAGATTTTTTTTTTTAAAAAAAAAGCTAATACTATCAATCACTTGTTAAATCACTAGGTTTTTTTGGTAGATAATATAAAATGTTAAAAATAAATTAGATGTTTCACATATAACAATCCTAACATGACATATTTGTTGGAGATTTTTTTTAAAAAAAAAATAGCTAATACTATCAATCACTAGTTAAATCACTAGTTTTTTTTTGTAGATAATATAAAATGTTAAAAATAAATTAGATGTTTCACATGTAACAATCCTAACATGACATATTTGTTGGAGATTTTTTTATTAAAAAATAGCTGTAGTATGTGTCCAATTTTAATCCCATGAGGAGGGAAACCAGATTTAAAATGCACCATCCACAAATCAAAAATTTAAAGAAAAGAATGAAGAAGAGAAAGTTTATTCTTGAATAACTTTCTCTGTTTTATTAATAAACAAGTGAAATGGAAATAGGTAGGACAATGAATAAGATCACACAAATAGTATTATTACATAAAATGAAAGGTATAGCTTAGTGCAAGTAGTAGCTGAAGAGGGACACAAGGGAAGCCCCAACCAAAGAGCCAAGAGCCGGCAATGCAGCCGAGGCGGCGGATGCGGCGGGTCCTGGTGCCGGAGCTCCGGCTTCCTCCATAGCCATAACGGCGGTCATGGAGGCAGCAGCGAAAAGCACACCGCAGGCGATCTTCTTCATCTCCATTGTTGAGACCTGAAAGGGGTTTTTTCTTCTTTTTTTATTTAGTTTTTTTTTTTGTGTTTTTGAAGTTCTTGCAGGTCTGAGGAAAATGGATGTTGGTGATGGCTCATTTATATGTGTGGAACTAAAGCTATTTTTAACATTAACTTATATTTACCAAAATAAACAGATTTAGTTTTGCGGAATATCAGGAATTTTTATTTTTTATGATAGTCAAAATTAACTAATCACCGTTGAATACGACTATAGTTACGGTAAGAAGAATTGCAATATGTTGTGGCTTAGATTTATTTTAGCATTTCTGTTTTGATATTCTTGTCACATGAACATGAGTCACAATTTTCAAAAAGAAAAAGAAAATTTAGTTTTTTCATACACATACATAAAGATTGTTCGAATGCAACATTCTTTTATACATCACTAACGGATTAATTTGAGATAACGTGAGTTGGTAAACTACACAAAACCTATCATCAACACCAAATGATTAGAAAAATGTTGTTTCCGATATTAACGAATTAGATATGCTACGTTTTATAGATCTGCAACACATCTTCATAGTTTGAACTCAAAAGAGCATTTCCCAAAATCTCGAAACTTACAAGTAAAACTATACCAAAAAAATGTAATATTACAAAAGTTGCATTAAATAATTGCAGTGGTTCTACGTATACACGACAACAACAACAGTACGTGCCAAATAGAATAATACATGGGACTATCAATATTTACAGGCTACACCATAATTTCTTGTCCTAAGAATTAACGATAAAACCCATCAAGAAGCTGTTCCATTGGCTCATCGAGTCTCAAGTTCGTGCTCAGCGATCATAACACACGAGTCTGCTTCAAGCAATGGAACCGAACTGTTCATCTTCATAAGTATCTCGCTGGTCAAAGGATCGATCATATCAGTGGTACACTGTACATCAGGTGCGATCCCTACTTGATCAATTTCGTGTAGAGAAGGCGACAAATACTTAGCTACCGTCACAAACAAAGCGGAACCGTCGTCTAGCTCCGTTACGCTCTTGCAAAGTCACAAAAACATGCAACAAATCATATCATAAGATCAAGATTTACGAACTATGTATTTGTATAAATGTATATACCTGGATTTTCCCTTTTCCGAATGTGCGACGACCAACAAGTATAGCTCGACCATTATCGTGTAAAGCACCAGCCAAAATCTCACTTGCACTTGCACTTCCTTCATTCACCTGGTCACCATTTTATCAAGACACATAACAAAACTCTGTTTCAATTTTTGGAACAAAGTATTTATGGAACCTAACAGATTGCTTTAATTGATCATCTAGCCAGCTTATATATATATATACTCACGAGCACGACAAGTGGATCATGTGTCAAGGCGTGTCCGTCAATCATATTTATTGGTGATGTAACCCCTTCACGGTTGATTGTATACACAAGAGTCTCATCTCCGTCAAGCCATAATTGTGCAACATCGAGTCCTGCTTTAACCAAACCTCCCTGAAAATGGAAATATCGAAAGCTAAGTGTCTGAAATTGTAACAAATAGAAGATAACTCGCTGTACAAAATAAAAACCTGAAACTTACCGGATTGTTCCTTAGGTCTAGAATGTATGACTGAACATTCTGATTCTCCATCTCGTGGACCGCATTTTCCATATCAGACGCTGCAGTCTATTGGAAGGTTCAAATCAATGAACTCATATCAATTATCATATTTTTTTTTTTTTTACTTTTCATAAACAGTAACCTGAGAAAACGCATTGAGTTTGACATAACCGGTTTTTGCTAATCTACCATCAGGTGTCTTATGTGGGATTATAGCACTTGATATCGGAGAGAGCTTAATGTAATCTCGAGGTAACTTGACCTTTACATATATGAGAGACATTTACTTAGTAAAATAACCTGAAAAAAAAATATAACATAAGCACCAGTAATAATACCTCTCTGATACCGGAATCCGTCCCTGATCCATTTACCTGCAAGAGATGACAAAAACTTAACTGGCTTGATCTCAACCATACCGGCTTTTCAAAAATAAGAATGCAGAAGAAACCGATAGAGAAGATAGTACATACACTTTTTAGTTTGACCGTAACGAATGTTCCAACTCGGCCTCTCAGCTTCTGCGCTGCTGCTTCACTATCAATACCATCCAGTTTCTCACCTGAAATCGCATAAAGAAACAATTCAGGTTATAGCCAATTTGCAGCAATCAAAGTTGGTAGGAATTAAGGACGAATGTAGAATGTACCATTTATCTCGACTAATTCCTCGCCTTCATGTATACCCGCACGATCTGCTGGGCTACCTTCTATGCATGACATAACAACCTACATTGGGCTCTACCATGAAACAAGATCTATCTACTTCATGCTTACAAAATGAAAAAAAAAATGGTATTGACAAAAAAAAAAAGTAAGCTTCTTTGGTCTCAAGATGTGTTTGTCACTAACCAGGTGACCTGTTCTTGGCTCTGAGTTTATGAAAAGTCCAACACCTTGGAGACTTCCATCGCTGCCAATTCTGAAACTTTGGTACTCCTGCAAGTCAAAAGATGTGTCTTGAAGCAGAACCAACTTCATTCAAATCATGCCCAGAAACAGTAAAGAAATACATTTTCTTAGAGGAATCAACAGAACTTGCAAATACCTTTGGGCTAATGATCCGAGTGAAGGGATCACCAAGAGTAGAGAGCATCGCTTTGATCTTTCCATAAGCAGCATCTGCTGATCTTAGAGGAAACATTTCCACCATCGTTTGCTGCAGCCTAGAATCCCAATCTGCAAAAAAAATAAACACTTCCCTCACTATCATTCTACAAAATCCTCCAACAAATTCATCCAAAAATCAAAACTTTATTACCCTGATGATTAAACGTTGGATCAACAAACGTTTCTCTAATCAAACCCCAAGCTTCCACAAGAGTTCGCTGTACTGTAGTAACCTTGACAAGACATCAAAAGAAGAAGAAAAAAAGAGCCTAATTTCTCAGAGACGTTAGAACAAAAAAAAGCAGAGAACAGAGCTCAATTAAAAAGCTTGATTCACCTCACGAGCGCGTGAAACAGGGAAAGCTATAGTGAAAGACTCAGCGAGTGCCGGAGATTCGCAGCAGAACGAAGAAGAAACCGCTACAGCAACGGCGGCGGTTAAACCGAGCAATCTTCTTCCAACGGTATTGTCCATTATCACACCATGGCTCTCTGAATCAGTTTCGATCTTAGATTCGAGCCCTAGACGCGAAGAAGATGCAAGACAAGGCCGTCTCTTGTGACGCCCATAGCGATTCAAACTCGAGAATCGGAGAATCGGATACTGAATCGAAGTGGGTTTCCGAGAATTCGGGAAGTGTAACAGAGGAAGATCAAGTTTTGGGGTTACAATTTTTTCCATATTGTGAAATTTGAAATTGAAACTTGAAATCTCAGTGTAAAAATTAAAACCGTGAGTATAATGAGACATATGAAAAATGCTGTAATGGTTTTTAATCTAATGACGTGTTTAAGACAGTTAAGTCAAATTGTGGAAGATTCTTTTATGGGTCCACTTGAATCTTTGTGGCTTAGAGATTTTTGCTGTTGCGTA